GAGTGAAGACGACCCATCGGTCTGGACAGAACCATCCAGAACATCTCTGACATCAGGTCTGACTGAGTTTATGTTGTTTCCAGCCAGAAGAAGCTTCAGGATCAAACCCAAACCAGCAAACAGTGAAACTGGGTGTGAGGAGGAAGAACTGGGACTGAAGTGTGGCTGACTGAAGCTCTTCTGCTCTGTGGGCTCTGAATGAGGAGATCTGCTCCTTATAAAAGTCTTTCTTTTGTTTTCAGTTTTTTTTTCCAGCAAAACAAACCAAAACCTGAAACTTGTGATCTTCAGTATTTATTGCATCAGACTGAGCGGTTTGAGTCGAGCTAACCTATAAACACACTCGGGTACTTTCAGTCTTACTGTTTGAAGAGCTCAGTGGAATATTTTGTCATTTTCAAAGAAACCAGCGCAGCAGATGCTTGTCGACATCTCGTTCTTGCTCAGCTCGTGGAAATTTAAAGCAAACATTATTAAACACCAGATTCCATTCAGCTCCAACAGCAGCGAGCAATCAGCCTCCGAGACCTTCTGTAAGCGGTTCTGGCCTGATCTGACACGAGCAGAAACCTGCACACGCGAACACATTCAGAGTCTGTAGAAGAATGAGGCCGGACTCGTGTTCTGGTTTGTGCAGCTCAGATACTCATCATGTGGGTCAAACTGCTGACAGCTGAGCTTTGAAGCTTCTCAGCAGAGCAGCTCTGTGCTTCCTGCCAGTAAGCCTGAGTGGAACATTCAACCATCACCTACATGCAGCGCATGCAGATGTAATCACATCCCTTATTGAAATGAGACCGCAGCACTGTTTACAATAACTCTAAGAGTTAATTCTCACTTGAGAGACTCACAGGAACAAACGAGTCATCTGCTTCTACAGAATCAGCCTGATTTCAATATTTTCCTGCTGATTAACATGCTCATCTGCATCCTGCTCATGTTTCCATGTGAGGGCAGCTTCAGCTCAGCTTCAGGGATTCACCTGCAGCGACCACCTGAAGCCCCCAGACGGCTTCAAAGGGCTTCAGGTTCAGGTGGAGGAGCTGAAGAGAGAAGGGAAAGTGTGAGGAGCAGCAGCTCTGAGGTTTCACCCCCACAGTCAGGGAGAGTCTCTGATCTCTACCACCGACCTGCCAGCCTGTCTGTCTGTACAGCTGCTACCTGGTTACCTGTTGATCTGTAGATCTGGTTATCTGGTTATCTGGTTATCTGTCTACCTGGTTATCTGTTTATCTGGTTCAAGGAGCAGCCAGTAGTTGAACATCTGATGATCCCTCTTCTGTTTCCACATGTTCTGGCGGATAAACGGTGTCATGTTGGTGATTTTTGAAAAACAAGCAAACAGAAAACAAACAGACATGTCAAAGCCACCAGCAGGTTTAAAACGTGTGTTTTCTTTTCAGCTGTCAGAGAAGCTGGAAATACAGAGGAGATGAAAGTGTGTGTGTCACTGATCGCTCACGTCTACTGAAACCCACTGAGGTAAACCTGTAGTGAGCACGGACACAAGAGCACAACAGGAATAAAGAACACGTAGAGATGTACGCGTCGTGTTTGTCGTGAAGAACGTGGGCTCTGAAGGCCAACTCTGAGATTAACAGCATGTTGGTGGTCTGGCTGGAAAATCTACTTCAGAAGGTTCAACACTCTGAAAGACTGAGTCATTTACAACTGAATATGCAAATATATGTAAAACATACAAAATGTTCATCAGTCAGACGTCTCAGATGTGAAGATTTGCTGCTTTTCACTGAAGACTGGAAGCTTTTCACAGTTCAACTAAAAACTCTGCAGACGGACCAGATGGGAAGAAAACAGTCAGGCAGGCAAAAGTAGAACCAAACAGAACAGAACCAAACAGAACAGAACCAAACAGAATAGAACCAAACAGAATAGAACCAAACGCAGTGACTCATTCTGTTCTGATTTTAAATGTGGATTCTTTAGCAGATTTCTAACATTGACACAGAGACGAGGATCTAAACCTGCTCCATCAGCACCAGGTGGTTGTTGTTGATATTCACTGACGTCTCCGTCCGTCGGCTGCACAGTGTTGTGGTTCTGTTTCTGGAGCCGGTTCTGCTCCTCCTCATTCATCTATTTACAATAAATGACACACAAAACATGTGGCACAACAAACAACACGGTGACTCTCAAGCTTTTCATATTAATCAACACAATCAGACTCTCGGGGCTTCAGCCTGGTTCGGGTCCGATCACATGATTCAACCCAGCGCTCTGCTCCGTTTGGTCAGCGTCAAGGAAAGTACATTAATATGATAATGAGAGTTTTGTGTCGGCCTGTTTCGCTCAGAGCTGCTCTGACGAGAAGGAAAGCGAGGATGAGAAAGGAGGCGATGATTCACTGTCATGAACATCCATCAGTGCTGGGAGGCTCACCAGCTCACCAGCTCACTGACTGGCAGTGACGGCCGCTGAGCTTCTGACGCCTCAGTTTCAGAAAACAAGCGCAAGTTCTGTGAAGAGGAGCCAGAACTGGAGAACATGAGACCCCAGGTGTGAGCTTCTTGACGGTGTTTCTGAGCAGCTTGGACCTGAACTCCGTCACACACCAGCAGCAGGTGTTTGACGCAGCTCAGAAGGAAACAGGCGAGCAGAGAGAATCCGTGGGAGGACGCGGGATCCCTGTTTACATCAACCTGACAGTTTCCAGCCGACCGCAGTCACATGACGAGCAGAGGAACCACCCGCCGCCCACGGCAGCGCTTAAAACCAGAAACCAGAAACTCAGCAGCACATCAAACCCAGCAGACTCAGAGCCTGAAGTTCAGCTCAAGTTTCCATCAACAGCAGAAACACGATGCCGCTGAAGCTTCTCCTCTCTGGAGGGATCCTCCTCCTCCTCACAGGTAACCTTCGTTTCAGCACTTCTGACTGAATTCCAGATGTTTTCATGTGTTTCTGAGGTGAACCTGGTGTTTGTGCTGCAGCTGTTCGGTCCGAGGAGCTCGAGGTTCTGGTTGCTGCTGGTTCTCAGGCGGTTCTTCCCTGTAAACGCAGCAGTTTGTCCTCAGACTCTTCTGCCATCATCTGGAGCAAAGACAACCACGGGTAAGAAGTTTGTCTCCTCTGGCTCACCTCGGCTTCAAACGGCGCCGAACCCGGCAGAAGGATTCAACAGAACCGTCTGGACTTTTCTCACAGCTGTGAAGTCGTCCGTCACTAAATATCTGAGATTTAAAACGTGATGAAGCTTTAAAACATGAGACGCCTCCTAAAGTGTGACTTCTACACCAAAAGGAATTTAAAAATGAATAAAACCACTGATTCCCAGCAGATCTCTGTCCAGACTGACAGCATGTATGTAAATAAAATAAAATAAAATAAAATAAAATAAAATTAAA